TAAAAAATTTGGGAAAAAAAAATTAATAACAAAATTTTTTTTTAAAAAAATTTTTTTTGGGGTTCCCTTTTTTTCCCCCGGGACTTTCCCCCCTTTTCTTTTTAAAAATTTCCCCCGGGGGGTTTTTTTTTAAAAAAATTTTTTAAAAAAACCCCCCCCCAAAAAAAAATTTTTTTAATTTTTTCCCCTTTTAAAAAAAATTTAAAAAAAAAATAAAAAAATTTTTTTAAAAATTTTAAAAAAAAAAATTTTTTTTTAAAAAAAATTTTTTTTAAAAAAAAAAAAAATTTTTTAATTTTTTTTTTAAAAAAAATTTTTTTTAAAAAAAAGGGGGAAAAAAAATTTAAAAAAAAACCCCCTTTGGGGGGGCCCCAAAATTTAAAAAAACAAAAAAAAAGGGAAAATTTTAAAAAGGGCCCAAAAAAATTTTCCCTTAAAAGGGGAAAAAATTTTAAAAAAAAAAAAAAAATTCCCGAAAAAAAAAAAAAAAAAAATTTTTTTTTTTAAAAATTTTTAATTTAAAAAAAAGGGGAAAAAAAAATTTTTTAAAAAAAAAAAAAAATTTTTTTCCCCGGGGCCCCAAAAAAAAATTTTTTTCCAAAAAAAAAAAAATTTTTTAAAAAAAAAAAAAAAGGGGGAAAATTTAATTTAAAACCCCCCCAATTCCCAAATTCCCCCCCAAAAAAAGTTTGGTTTAAAAAAAAAAAAAATTTTTGGGGAAAAATTTTTTTTCCCCCCCCAAAACTTAAAACCCCCCCCAAAAATTTTTCCCTTTTTAAACCCCTTAAAAAAAAAAAAAATTTTTCCCCAAAATTTAAAATAAATTTTAAAAAAAAATTTTAAAAAAAAAAATAAAAAAAAACCCCCCCCCCCTTTTTAAAAAATTTTGGCCCAAAGGCCGGAAAAAAATTTTTTTTTAAAAAAAAAACCCCCCAAAAATTTTTTTTTTTTTTAAAAAAATTTTTTTTTAAAAAAATTTTTTTTAAAAATTTTTTTAAAAAAAGGAAAAAAAAACCCCCTTAAAAAATTTTAAAAAGGGGTTTAAAAATTTAATAAAAAAAAAAAATTTTTTTTTAAATTAATTTAAAAAAAATTTTTTAAAAAAAATAAAAAAAATTTTTTTAAAAAAAATTTTTTTTTTTTTTTCCCCCTTTTTTTTTTTTAAAAAAAAAAATTTTTTTTAAAAACCCCGAAAAAATTTTTCCCCCAAAACCCCCCCTTAAAAAAAAAAAAAAATTATCCCCAAAAACCCAAAAAAAACCCCCCCCAAAAAATTTTTGGTTTTAAACAAAAAGGGAAAAAACAAAAAAAAACCCAAAAACCCCAAAAAGGGAAAACCCCCCCCCTTTTAAAAAATTTTCCCCCTTTAATTTTTTCCCAAAAAATAAAAAAAGGGGGTTTTAAAATTTTTAAAGGGGAAAATCCCCCAAAAAAAAACCCCCATTAAAAAAATTTTAAAAAAAAAACCCCCCCCCAAAAACCCCCAAAAACCCAAAAAAAAAAACCCCAAAAAATTTAAAAAATTTAAACCCTAAAACCCCCCCTTTTTTTTCAAAAAAAAAAAAAACCCCCCCCCCAAAAAAAAAAAAAATTTAAAACCCAAAAAATTTTTTAAAAAAAACCCCAAATTTTAAACCCCCCCCAAAAAACCCCCAAACAAAAATTCCACAAAACCCCCCCAAAAAAAATTTTTTTTAAAAAAAATTAAAAAAAAAAAAAAAATTTTAAACCCCCTTTTCCCCCCCAATTTAAAAAAAAACCCCCCCAAAACCCCCCCCCCCTTTTTAAAAAATTTTTTGGGGTTTTTTAAAAAAAAAAGGGGAAAAAAAAAAAAAAAAAATTTTTTTTAAAACCCCCAAAGGAAAAAAAATTTAAAAAAAACCAAAATTTTTTTTTAAAAAAAGTTTTTCCCTTTTAAAAAACCCTTTATTTTTTTTTTTAAAATTTTTTTTTTAAAAAAAAAAAAGGGAAAAAAAAAAAACCCCTTTTAAAAAAAATTTTTTTAAAATTTTAAAATTTTTTAAAAAAAAAATTTTTTAAATTTTAAAAAAAAAAAAAATTTTTTTTTTTAAAAAACCCCCGGGGGGGGAAAAAAAATTTTTTTTCCCCCCCAAAAAACCCAAACCCAAAAGGGGGGGCCCCCCCCTTTCCCCCCCAAAAAAAAAACCCCCCCCTTTTTTTTTTTTTTTAAAAATCCTTTCCTTTTTTTTTTGGGGAAAAAAAATTTTTTTCCCCCCTTCCCCCGGTCAAACCCAAAAAACCCCGGGGGTTAAAAATTTTCAACCTTGACCTAAAACGCTTTCTTGATAGTTGTGACAGAACCCACAGGCATAACACCAGACACAAACATCTCTACGACATTCCCCGTGTCCGACTAAACCTTTACAAAAATTCAATGTATGTCAAAGGCCCTAAAATCTGGAATACCCTACCTGAGAACTCTAGAACTGCAGACACATTCATCACCTTCAAAACTACCATTAGAAAACATCTTATCTCCCTGATACACCCCGTCAACTAACTACACGAATACCACCTGGTGGTTCCACATTACACTCACTCACTCATTTGACCATAAACAGAAATATTAATCTCAATCTTAAAATAATGAATCCTGTGATACTCCAATACTGAAACTATGTACTGTGCCAAAACAAAAGCATTCACATTGCTAAACTCACAAACTAGTATTTAGTCACTTAGCCATAATACCAACTTACCTCATAATTTGTAATATTTTACAATTAAGAATAAAACTAAGTATGCCCGAAATGCCTAGCCATGCTAAGCGTTCTAGTGGTACACTCTGTAATCACAATTTTACTACATGTAAACCACACAATAACCAAATTTCTGTAAACTCAGCATTGTAATCCTTATAGAGAATAAAATTTGAATTTGAATTTGAATAATTTGAAATGACCGTATTAGCGGAACGCCGTAAAGTGAAACGCCGTAAAGCGGGGCCCTCCTGTATTTCTACACCATAGGAAGGTTAGCACAGGCACCACTGTGACCACAAATGCAAGTTTTTACAGACGAATCTCCAGCTAGCGTGGCCGTGACGAACTCTAGCTCAAGTCCCTTCACTGCCGTCAACATGACTCACGAAATCGTAATGACACGATTGCAAACAAACCATACCCCGGCCGGGATTGAACCCGCGGTCAGAGAGTCTCAAAACTCCAGCCCATCGCATTAGCAATCGCGTTTGCAATCGTGTCATTACGATTTCGTGAGTCATGATTTACTAATGTTTGTTAAGAGGAAGGTAGGGTAGTGGTCTGTAGTGCTGTCTGTGATTATCCCTGATTTAAGGGGGGCTAGTATATGCTCACCTGGAGTTGATGCTCACCTGGAGTTTACCTGGAGAGAGTTCCAGGGGTCAACGCCCCCGTGGCCCGGTCTGTGACCAGGCCTCCTGGTGGATCAGAGCCTGATCAACCAGGCTGTTGCTGCTGGCTGCATGCAAACCAACGTACGAGCCACAGCCCTGCTGGTCAGGAACCGACTTTAGGTGCTTGTCCAGTGCCAGCTTGAAGACTGCCAGGGGTCTGTTGGTAATCCCCCTTATGTATGCTGGGAGGCAGTTGAACAGTCTCAGACCCCTGACACTTATTGTATGGTCTCTTAACGTGCTAGTGACACCCCTGCTTTTCATTGGGGGGATGTTGCATCGTCTGCCAAGTCTTTTGCTTTCGTAGTGAGTGATTTTCGTGTGCAAGTTCGGTACTAGTCCCTCTAGGATTTTCCAGGTGTGTATAATCATGTATCTCTCCCGCCTGCGTTCCAGGGAATACAGGTTCAGGAACCTCAAGCGCTCCCAGTAATTGAGGTGTTTTATCTCCGTTATGCGCGCCGTGAAGGTTCTCTGTACATTTTCTAGGTCAGCAATTTCACCTGCCTTGAAAGGTGCTGTTAGTGTGCAGCAATATTCCAGCCTAGATAGAACAAGTGACCTGAAGAGTGTCATCATGGGCTTGGCCTCCCTAGTTTTGAAGGTTCTCATTATCCATCCTGTCATTTTTCTAGCAGATGCGATTGATACAATGTTATGGTCCTTGAAGGTGAGATCCTCCGACATGATCACTCCCAGGTCTTTGACGTTGGTGTTTCGCTCTATTTTGTGGCCAGAATTTGTTTTGTACTCTGATGAAGATTTAATTTCCTCGTGTTTACCATATCTGAGCAATTGAAATTTCTCATCGTTGAACTTCATATTGTTTTCTGCAGCCCACTGAAAGATTCGGTTGATGTCCGCCTGTCCGCCTGTCCGTCTATTATGGTTGCACTTGTCTCAGTGAGCCTGGTTGATTTAGTTATTGTTGGTATGAGAAGTGTGTTGTTCATATTGTTGATGAAATCAGTTACAGGCTGATCATCTAGTAGGCCAAGGTTGATGTTGAAGTCTCCAGCTAAGAGAAGGTGGTGCTTATTCATTTGTCTGTTTGTTATTAGTGCCTTTAATTTCTCACTGAAATTTGGGATGTTTGTGTGGGGTATCCGGTAAATGGCACCTATTGTTATAGGCATCTTAAGGTTTTTTACAGTAAAACTAGCAAAAATGTATTCCCCATATTCATCACTAAAGCAAGTGGTGCTAATACAAGATAGTTGGTTAGAGTAATAGATTGCAATACCACCCCCAACTTGGTATGGTCTGCAGTTGTGGATTGCTGTGTATCCTGGTAGAGGGTAGATATCTATTGTGTCCTGCTTAAGCCAGGTCTCAGTAAGAATAATGCAGGAGAAGGGTGTCTTTAGTGCTTCAAGGAGTGCCAGGAGGTCATCATAGTGTTTGCTTAAGGACCTGATGTTGTAGTTAAGAACTGATAGACATTTAGCAGTGTTCAGGATAGTGCTGGCTTGTGATGCTGTGTAATAAAGGCAGTTACTTTCCAATAAGTTTTGATTGTGTGTTAGATTATGGAGGTTTAGATCAGGGTCAACGTGATCATTCATCTTTTAGGTTTAAATAGTGGTTATTTATATCCTGTATTATGTGGTGAGTTCTGGTACTGATATATGTAGTAGTGGGAAGTTTGGACAAGTATATAGCTAAAGCACTTTGGTCATATAGAGTATAGTCACTAATAAACATAATGAAGTTAATATTGTCTATGTGTTGTGCTAGAATGAGCTAAAGTACGACTAGGTATAAGCTAATAATATAAAAATACAAATTAAAAAATAGCGCCAGACTCTCACTTGTAATTGCACTAAGGTGTAATATAAGTTGTTAACAAGAACTAAAGTATAACTAGATTTAAATTGACAAGATAAAATACACAAGTTAAGGTAGCAAAAGAATAATAAAAAATAGTAAAATAAAAAAAGGCAATGACTTGGTTATAATATGAAATGAGATGGTAGACAGGATAATATAAAAGTTGGAGTTGAATATACAAACTTAAAAATTTGGTAACAAAAGGTTAAGAAAAGTAAAATAAAGTTGGGTGATAAAGTCTAAAATAGAATAGGGCAATTATAAAAAGTTTATAATAAAATTGGGTATTAAACTTTACAAATAAAAAAGGGCAATAATAAAAAGTTTAAAATAGATTGGGCAATAAAGTATTGGTAAAATTGGGCAAGTATAAGATTGTGTAATTAACTCTAGATTAGAATAGTGCAATAATAAGTTGAAAAGTTTACAATAAAGTTGGGCATTAAATATAAAATAAAAATGGGCAACAATAAAAAGTTTACAATAAGATTGGTCAATATAGTTTAAAGTAAAATTGGGCAATAATAATAGAGATTTTAAAATAAAATTGGGCGATAGTAGTTTCCTATTAATATAATATATACATTCAGTACTCATGTATATGTGGTCCCAGGCAGATGTGTGCGCCATCTCTGCCATTCAGTAGTTAAACTATCATTTGTTTCGTCCGACAGGAAACTTTCTTTTTATCATTGTTGCTACTGTAAAACTCATATTTTATCATGTTTACTGTTTAAAATAGTTTCGTTTGTTTGTGTTTTATATCATCTGTCTTGCATTAGCCATTTTATTGTCTTATATTAGCCATCTAACTGTCCTACATCAGCCATCAGCTTGATGCCAACCTGTCAGTAACAGCCATCCAGATAAGAAACTTTCTTGCCTAATCTTTTCTGTTATAAAACTGTCTTCCCTCCAGCTATACTACCATGGAAATAGTGTCATATCTGCCATACTACCATCCATCTTTTGTGCCATTTCTACCAAACTCGTGACATTAACATCATGTCTCCTTCAGTATTCAACTGTAATCATATAATCATAAAACATTTCATTATGGTCACAGGCAACTTAAACCAGATCCAACCCACAAAAAGTATCGCACTGCCATCAAGTGGAAGAATCTCAACCCAGAATTCAATGAGGAGTTTGTGTTTGAGGTCCGGAGGAATGAACTACCGAAGAAGCTTTTAGATATTCGGGTGTATGATAAAGACGTTGGTCGTAGTGATGATTTCATTGGTAAGTACTCTCACAGAATTTTGGTTTGCACATTGTTTATTCAGGTACAGGTATACATAAATACAGTTACATAAATTATCATACATAGCAGCATATGTGTAGATTCAAGTACTACAAGTCATGCAATTGTTAGCAAAAGGCCTAATTAACAGTCTAGAAGCGAGAACTTTACAAGAATGATGTAATAACAAGATTGTTTTTTAACTATGGTATGCAAGGTAAACAGTTTGCCTTTGAAGAAGCCACAATACAAACTCAAACTACTCATTAGAAATTAAGAAGGTTCTAAGGAATGACAATACCAGAAAATTCACATTCAAGAATCATGTGTTGTCATAAAAACAAAGAAAATGACAGCCTGGATAACTAGAGATGCCAAAGCAATGATGGTGCTCCTTAAGTCACTTGGTCTCTCTAGACTGGAATTTTGCTGCACACTAAGAGCCCCTTCAAGGCACACGAAACTGTAGATTATGAGAATGTACAGGAACCTGTAATATACACAAGAAAAATACATCATAATTTACACTTGGAAATTTCTGAAGGGATTGATCCCAAATGTGCAAATCGAAATTACGCCCAAGATCTTGGCTTGGCAGTGTAAAATATTTCCAGTGAAAAGCAAGGGTGCAGTGAATACACTAAGAGATATCCTCTATGCATAGAAGGGCCTTACAAACAGAGCACTGGAAATAATGAAGCCTTGAACAGACCCCCTTTAGCTGTCTTCGAGAGGGGGAAAATGATAAGCTCCTCAAGTCACTTCCTGGTCAGCTCGGCTGTGGCATCCTTGTTGGACTGAGTGTGGCTAACACCAATAACCTGGTTCATCAGGTAATCAACCGGTTCAGTTCTCATTGGGGGTAATCCGTAGAGCTAACTGGTTGCCAAGGATTTAATCTCTGCCTTTCATGGTAAATAATTTTATAAATTGTCCAGTTCTATTCAGTCGTGTCATCTAATGAACACCCTGTGTCACATAGCACAGAGATAAGAGTTAACTATAAATATATTTGTGTCTGTGGTAGACTTGGAAGCTACAGAGATGAGAAACGTGTTGTGGTTTGTAAAACTCGAGAATGCATAAGTGAGAAAGGTGTTTATCTTGTAAAGCTCTAGGCTACATAGATGAGAAATGTTTGGTTTCTAAAGCTGTAGGCTACGTAAATGAGATGTGTCGTCGGCCTGAAAAATGTTAGGCTACAAGTGTATTAAATGTGACTACCTAGTGAGTAAACTGTTGTTCTTGTAGGTGGTCTTCAATTGTCTCAGGAGAGCACGGGCATGGAGCTGCGGCACTGGTATGATGCCTTGCAGTACCCTGACCGTCGTCATGACCGCTGGCACCAACTACAGGCACTTAACGACAAGTAAGCTGCTCTTGCTAGCAGTTGCAGGCATTGCTTGAAGCAGGAGCACTCTGAAACAGCAACAAAATACATTTTTAAAGCAAAACTCATAGAAAAGAAGTTTCAAGAAGTAAGCCTGCTGGACAAATTTCAAGAAGCAAGACTGCTGGAAAACAAGTTTAAAGAAGCAAGACTGCTGGAAAACAAGTTTAAAGAAGCAAGACTGCTGGAAAACAAGTTTAAAGAAGCAAGACTGCTGGAAAACAAGTTTAAAGAAGCAAGACTGCTGGAAAACAAGTTTAAAGAAGCAAGACTGCTGGAAAACAAGTTTAAAGAAGCAAGACTGCTGGAAAACAAGTTTAAAGAAGCAAGACTGCTGGAAAACAATTTACAAGAAGCAAGACTACTGGAAAACAATTTACAGGAAGCAAGACTGCTGGAAAACAAGTTTAAAGAAGTAAGACAGCTGGAAAATAATTTACAAGAAGCAAGACTACTGGAAAACAAGTTTAAAGAAGTAAGACAGCTGGAAAATAATTTACAAGAAGCAAGACTACTGGAAAACAAGTTTAAAGAAGTAAAACTGCTGGAAAATAATTTACAAGAAGCAAGACTACTGGAAAACAAGTTTTAAGAATCAAGACTGCTGGACAAAAAGTTTTAATTAAGAGCCAAGACTATTGGGAAACAAGTTCCAAATGTAGTAATATGCTCTGAGTGTAACAAAACCACAAGAACTAATATGATAATTTTTGTGAACTAAAAATATTAAAGATACATGACGCAATAATACTGATTGTTAACTAGTGACCTCCAGTATTATAGTGAGGAACTTTGTGTATTATGGGACCATATAAAGAATAATTAATGGTGACAAGAATAATTTTCTGTTGGACAGTGACTTTTAAAAAAGCTGCATTATAGAATAATGCAACAGATAATGACAAGCTAAATGTTCACTATTGGAGGTGCATGCTGTATAAAACAAAACCAGTGATCTCGTAGTGGCGAAATTTATCATTCCTGGATGATACTGAAAGTAGCACATCTGTAAATATTATACATTAATATGAGTGACTCTGGTACAGTATGTGAATGATAGTGATGGTGCTTTCTTGACAGTATTGTGAAATTTTATATATATTTTATATATATAAATTATATATTTATATATATATATATTTTATATATATATATATATATAATACATATATATTTTAAAAATATTAATATATATATATATATATATATATATATAAAATACTAATATATATATATATATATTAATTATAGGATGGGGTCCACCTCTGGTGTAAATTGTGGGGGCCCATAGCCTCGGAGAAGTGGATTTAAATATTATAATATATATATATATATATATATATATATATATATATAATATATATATTTATTTTATTATATATATATATATATATATAATATATATATATATATTTATATCGTGCCGAATTGGTAAAACTTGGGGATTTTGCCTTAAAGTAGCAATGCTCTTCTTACCGAATTAAACAAGTGAAAATTTGTGTATGCAGTAATTTCGCAAAAATCATTCTGAACCTAACGATAACAAATATATTTCATTGTGTTTGTTTATTATTAAATTATTGTAAACTTAACTAAAATATATTTAGTTGGATTGGTTAAATTAAATTGCGCTTGTTATTAAAGTTAGGTAAGTTTTCTCAGGTTCATTTGGTACAAAATTATTAATTTTTCATTAACATAAATGGAAAAAAAAATATCTTTAAATGTATAAGAGAAAATTTTAGAAAAGGACTTAATTTTTAAAAAGTTCTTGCTAACTGACCAATTTTCCTATTCGGCACGACATATATATATACGTGTTATTTGTGATAAAAAAATGAATTATTTTTAGCTGATGAGAGATTAAAATCATTCATCAGTAAAATATGAAGTGTGCACCAGCACAAGGGTTTTCATTATAAAAGCTCTCTACCAAAAAAAAAATTAATTTTTTACAAATGTATTTATATTCTATAACATCTTGTACTTATAGTACGAGTCTAGATGAAGTGATATCCAGAAATCGTATATAAATTATATATGCCTACCATCCGACTTACGACCGAGTTCGGTTCCGAGAAACCGGTCGTAAGTTGAAATGGTCGTAAGTCGAACTTTACTAGTGAATATCAACAAAACATTTTTGTAATGACTTTATTTTATTGTTTTATTTTGGTATTTCATGTTTTACTTTACTTTTTATGTTGTTAGTACTGTATTTTATACTGTAAGGTTTAGGATAAACACTGTGTACAACACAAATAGTTGTTTATTTCCCAGAAATTTTGCATAAAAAACACGGTCGTAAGTCGAGTGGTCGTAAGTCGAGCAGGTCGTAAGTCGGATGGTAGGTGTGTATATATATATATATATATATATATATATATATATATATATATATATATATATATATATATATATATATAATGTAAAGAATATGGAGGCTTCATGTAACATAAAAAAAGAGTATTATTTATCTTTTCCTGGATACTTTATATATGTACAGCTGGGGATGGACCAATGTATGACCACTACAACACTTGTCACAATGTATGACCACTACAACACTTGTCACAATGTATGACCACTACAACACTTGTCACAATGTATGACCACTACAACACTTGTCACAATGTATGACCACTACAACACTTGTCACAATGTATGACCACTACAACACTTGTCACAATGTATGACCACTACAATACTGTCACAATGACCATTTCCTTTTGAGTTTGAGTGCAAGACTTGAGTAATTAATTTCTGTTTTTATTTTTGCTAATACATAAGTGTTACTCGTTGCATAATGGGGCCAAAAGTTACCATATGTAAACTACCAAAAGTTCCACTCATTGCCTTCTCTCTGCATTAATATTTAAACCAACTTTTATAGCAGTCTTTCACTGTTGAAAATTACAAAGAACTGAAGGTGACATCATACTCAGGTCATCTTCACAGAAAAATATTTTTATCCAAACTGAGAGTCAATATTAAAAATATAAGATAATTTACAAGCCAAATATAATTTTATTTTATGATTACTATAGTATTCCAGTGGAAATCAGTAACCGGTTTATTTAAATATTTATTAAAAATGTTTTGGGCACTTCAGTCCTGTGAAACACAGGAGAAAATATATTATATATATATTATAAATATATTATATATATATATATATATATATATATATATATGTATATACAGTGGACCCCCGCTTAACGATCACCTCCAAATGCGACCAATTATGTAAGTGTATTTATGTAAGTGCGTTTGTACGTGTATGTTTGGGGGTCTGAAATGGACTAATCTACTTCACAATATTCCTTATGGGAAAAAATTCGGTCAGTACTGGCACCTGAACATACTACTGGAATGAAAAAAGTTCGTTAACCGGGGGTCCACTGTATATATATATTATATATATATATATATAAATATATATAATATATATATATATATATATATATATATATATATATATATGGTATAAACCTTGGTAATAAATACCGACAAGTTGGTTTAGAAAGACACGTAAGCAAACACTATAACATATTTATTAGAAAACGTTTCGGTCCTGGGACCTTGATCACTTCTAACATAGAGAGGTAGAAAGACATTATATATATAGGCGGAGAGTGAGATGTGACGCACGTGACCTGAGGAATGTCATAAGAACATAAGAATGGAGGAACACTGTAGAAGGCCTACTGGCCCATGCAAGGCAGGTCCTTATCAAAACAACCTCTACCTATGATGAGGACGGGTAGACGATGAAATCATGTGACTCCTGTGTTGTTGGGTTGTGCTGCTGAAGTATCATGTATGCCAATGTTTTTGAAATTTTGTAGTTTCCAGTGTTGTGTTCTATAGTGTCGGTGACGGCGATTAGTGAGGCTTCTAGGCACCGTCGGCGTCTGAGGTCTGGTTCGGTGAGAACGAGTTGTGCCTCGTTCCAGTTCATCAAATGCCCCTGTGTCCTCCACAGAGACTCCACAGGGCATTTGATGAACTGGAACGAGGCACAACTCGTTCTCACCGAACCAGATCTCAGACGCCGATGGTGCCTAGAAGCCTCACTAATCGCCGTCACCGACACTATAGAACACAACACTGGAAACGACAAAATTTCAAAAACATTGGCATACATGATACTTCAGCAGCACCAACCCAACAACACAGGAGTAACATGATTTCATCGTCTACCCGTCCTCATCATAGGTAGAGGTTGTTTTGATAAGGACCTGCCTCGCATGGGCCAGTAGGCCTTCTACAGTGTTCCTCCATTCTTATGTTCTTATGACATTCCTCAGGTCACGTGCGTCACATCTCACTCTCCGCCTATATATATAATGTCTTTCTACCTCTGTATGTTAGAAGTGATCAAGGTCCCAGGACCGAAACGTTTTCTAATAAATATGTTATAGTGTTTGCTTACGTGTCTTTCTAAACCATATATATATATATATATATATATATATATATATATATATATATATATATATATATATATATATATATATTATATATATATATATATATATATATATATATATACATATATACATATATATATATATATATATTATATATATATATATATATATATATATATATATATATATATATATATATATATATATATATATATATATATATATATATCCTAGGTAGTAGGTTGGTAAGCAGCAACTGCCCAGGGAGGTACTACCGTCCTGCCAAGTGAGTGTACAACGAAAACCTGTAATTGTTTTGCATGTTGGTAGGATTGCTGGTGTCTTTTGTCTGTCTCATAAACATGCAAGATTTCAGGTATGTCTTGTTACTTCTACTTACACTTAGGTCACACTACACATACATGTACAAGCATATATATACACACCCCTCTAGGTATTCTTCTATTTTCTTTCTAGTTCTTGTTCTTGTTTATTTCCTCTTATCTCCATGGGGAAGTGGAACAGAATTCTTCCTCCGTAAGCCATGCGTGTTGTAAGAGGCGGCTAAAATGCCGAGAGCAACGGGCTAGTAACCCCTTCTCCTGTATAAATTACTAAATTTAAGAGAAACTTTCGTTTTTCTTTTTGGGCCACCCTGCCTTGGTGGGATACGGCCAATGTGTTGAAAGAAAGAAAGATATATATACAGTGGACCCCCGCTTAACGATCACCTCCCAATGCGACCAATTATGTAAGTGTATTTATGTAAGTGCGTTTGTACGTGTATGTTTTGGGGTCTGAAATGGACTAACCTACTTAACAATATTCCTTATGGGAACAAATTCGGTCAGTACTGGCACCTGAACATACTTCTGGAATGAAAAATATCGTTAACCGGGGGTCCACTGTATATATGTACGTATATATATATAATTTTTTTTTTTTCAACAACATGTATATATATACTGAGAGGTACATTTGTGTGTAACTGTGCTGCTCTTACTTATTCCTTATTTTAGGAATTAAAGTATTGTTGTCTGGTGGTGTAAAGATTTCAGCAGTCTTAATAACTAGTGTAATCAATAAAGTGTAAACAAAAACATCACAAAATGCATTAAGCATGGAAAAAATGTTACTTTTTTTCCACATTAGACATTAAACGTTGTTAACCAAACAACCTGTGAGGCAAGAATTAGGTTCATACACTCTCTATACTATACAAATTCAAGTTAACATGGAAAACATTGCTTATAATAAATGATTATATTTCCACACACACTACGCTACCACATACTTTATTTTTTAAGATAACATGAGTCGCCTTACCTCATCAAAATATATTTTTTCACAATAAATTTATTTGTTGACAATATAAAACTATATTTATAAGAATGATTTTGAAAGTGGTTAAACATTTCAATAATGGGCGAGACTGGCTAGTTTTTAATAAGAATGTCTTAAAAAATTCAGCCAGGTAACTAACCCAGCTCGACTTCATTGAAGTAAATACACGTAAGTCTAATTAAATATCTATACACACATTTTCTTAGATTTCCGTATATCTTTCTTTCAACACACCAGCCGTATCCCACCGAGGCGGGGTGGCCCAAAAGGAAAAACACAAGTTTCTCCCTTTACATTTAG